TATTTTCCAAAAATTCGCCCCAGCGGCTTTGCACCAGCCTTTCTTGCCATCTCCGGGTTATGGTGAATATAAAATTTACTGCGGCTACGTAAGGGTAGAAAACTCTATCGATGTTCAAACTAGAAGTTTGCTCACATCGAATTGGTTGCTAGCACAGCAAAGGAGATATAACACAGATAATGGGATAAAGGATAAAGTCTTCGCCGTGAACCAATCCCTTTTGGCACCAGTCCCTTGTGACACTCATTCAAGTCCACTCAGAATCGTGGCTGCCCAATGACTGCGATGTGGTCTATACATATACAATGACTTGCCAAGAGCCAATCAATGTGCAAGTCGGTGTTTTTATCCTCCCACGAATCTGGCTCCAATTCACCGTTCCGCAGTGTAGAGCGTAGTTGGTTTGGGCGCGAACCGATCAGGAACTCGACTGGACCATGAGCATGGCAAGCGTGCCACTTACTACTAACGCACCACCCACCTCTGTCTCAGATAATGGGATATAGATGAAAAAGAACGCAAGAAATTACTTGTCCGCCAATAGACGACGGTTTAACCGCTAGTCATGATGCATCAAACATGCTAGATGGTCTATGGGATAGAGCCTCGCCCGCGTAATCGAACTTCCAACAAAGGGGTTGATAATCTGGTGCTGTATCTGTCTGGTTGGGTAGAAACACTCATCCGAGCGATTAACTCCGCCAACAAACGAGCCAGCCACAAATGCACCAAGGGACCCGATGCATACCACAACTTTTGGAATGTCATACACTCAAAGGCACACTGTACACTCACCACCTTGAATGCCGGTCCTTGTCAGCGAGGTGGATGGGTGCGCAGCTGCAGTAGTGTGCCACCTTCTCCACTCAAAAATGCACAGCAAGGGTTGGTGTGGAGACACACGAGTGCCATCTCCATAGCGCGCTCGCGCTGTTGCACGGCCTGCCACACGCCTAAGGCAGCGTTCAGACTTCGCGACGGCAGCGCTTCGGTCGCGCGTTCGGCGCGATCGATGCGCATGCTTTCGACTGCATCGATCGCGTCGAACGCGCGACCGAAGCGCTGCCGTCGCGAAGTCTGAACGCTGCCTAACAGTAGCGAAGCGCGCAACTTGTCTGCGCCCTCTCACTTTTGGCTGCTCTCTACCTTTGACACCGTCTTGCGGCGGCACTTTGATAACATCGCAAGTGCTGCACCTTGAGGATGACCCGGGCGGAGTATGGAAACGGCACCCGAGTATCACTACCTTCCAGCCCCGTCCCCGTACAGTTTGTAGGCGGAGAAAGTGCTTCGCTGCCACAGCCGAAGGTCATTCATCTAGCTCAAGGTAAGAACCATTCGCAGAGGTGAGTATACAGCTTATCTTCAACACTTCATGGGCAACACAACAAATATGGTTTTCCCCACTATATGAGGAAGAACTGTAGGTTGGGGTGAATCTCACCACTCATTTGTGCAAAAAGGGGTTCTCCTGCTGTTGCTTTAGATCACATATTGGCACTCGATGAAAGGACATCAAGTGATCATGGCGCGCTCATAGAGTGAATCTGAACGTTGAATATATATTTATGAGAGCCCTATAATAATCTAATCAAGGGAATGTTTCATCAGAGCTGAGTTCTTCCAAGTCCAAAGCGAAACCTTGTCATACTTGGCAAGGATACAATATATTTTACCAGACGGCTTCGCCGGCTGACGCCGTCGCACATCCTGAGATACAGCACGGTTTCGTCGAGCGGGCGCGGCTCCGCCGCGCTTACCTTCTTCCACACATTTC